ACGTCAAACATGCCGAACAGACTTTTGCACAAAAGTCATCTCTTTCTGAAAAGAGTTATGAGTCAGAACTTCAGAATTCTTTTAATTTTGACTATGATTTGATTTTTGGTATTCCTGACAGAGCTATAGATGTTGAAATCCATGTTGATGACAACCGTATTCCTATAGAATCAAAGCATTCTGATGATTTAATGGTTACTAGGGAAGTTGATGATTCTCATTCTACCTCAACATCAACAGTGAATGTCGAAAGCACACATGTTTTGCAGGGTGATCAAGTGGTGGGGGAGCACTTGAGTTCGAGGTCACATGATTATATTCATGATCCAACTGGTGAGGGGGAGCATGTTGAAAATAGACATCAGTTCGAGGGGGAGCATGTATAGAGAAATGATGATGACAAGGGGGAGCATATCAATTTAAATCCATCAGTTGAGGGGGAGCTAAATGGGTCAATTCCTAATGATTTAACTGATCAAACTAACGAATTTTATAATTTTAGTGATCATATATCGCATACAGGTGAAGGTTCTAAAACATATGATATATTCGAAGATGTGCCTTTAGATTTTGATCCTGAATAACCACCAATGGATAAAAAGACACGAAGAAATCAAAAGGAACAGGTTCTTGGTGATCCAAATGTTGGAGTCATGATGCGAGCACAAATTCGAGCTAAGAATGACATATTGAATGTTCACTAGGAATATTGTATGTTCAATGTGTTTATTTAGAAACTTGAACCCAAAACAGTAAAGGTTGCATTAGAACACTCAGATTGGGTTGTTGCGATGCAATCTCAACTGGCAGAATTTGAACGTAACAAAGTCTGGACGTTAATTCCTAAACCAGCCGATGTTTCGTTAATTGGATTGAAATGTATTTTTAAGAATAAGACTGATAAAGAAGGTAATGTGATTCGCAATAAGGCAAGATTAGTTGTTAAAGGTTATTCGTAACAAGAAGGAAAAGATTATGCAGCACATAAAAATTTCGATATATATCAAATGGACGTCAAATGTGCCTTCCTAAATGGTGTATTGGCGGAAACGGTCTATGTCGAACAACCACCTGGTTTTGCCAACGATAAGTATCCTGATTATTGTTATGTTCTCAATAAGGGAGTTTATGGGTTGAAAGAAGCACCTCGTGCCTGGAATGCAACCATAACCAATTTTTTGAAAATTTCTAAATCTAAACAACGATCATTTGATCCTACATTATTTCGAAAGAAAGTCGGGAATCACATGATGCTTGTTCAGATTTATGTTAATGATATAAATTTTGGTTCAACTACCCTTTGTTATCGAAGGAATTTGAAGAATTAATGAAAAGTAAGTTCGAAATGAGCATGATTGGAAAAATAAATAATTTTTTGGGTTTAAATATTCGTCAGGGCATGGAAGGCATTTTCATAAATCAAGAAAAAACAAGTGCAAACTGGCAGATAGATTCGGAATGACGAATAACACTAAACTGAAATTATCGGTGGTAGTTGGAACATGCTTGAATCCTTCGTTGGACAAGCCAACAATGGACTTAACTACTTATCAAAGCATGATAGGTTCACTTTTATACTTAACTGCGAGTCGACCTGATATCATGTTTGATGTGTGTAACTGTTCCAGGTATAATTCAAACCCAAGAGAACCCCATCTTACTGCTGCGAAGAACATCTTTCGCTTTCTTAAGGGAACAATGTCGTTGGGACTCTGGTATCCTTCACAGACTGGATTCTTTGTTCACGGTTAGGAATACCTTGAACAAGCTCTGTTCACGGTTCAACATTCACATACGTTCTCTTTCGCAATTCCACTGAATCATTCTGACCTCACTTCACATTATGGGGAGAAAAGTTGTTCGATGTACAATGCCTTTGGGAGTTGCTACTTCTTACATCGAATGTCACTGGTACAACTTTATTACTTTGTTTTTTATTTTAGTTTTCCAATACAAAAATCCAAAAATATTTTCTTATTTATGTCTTTTCTATTAGAAAACAAAAATCCAAAAAGATTTACTTTGTTTTGATTACATATTGTGGTTAACCTTTCATGGTTCATTGTAACAAGATATTGTGGTGGTGTATGCTCAATGATCATTTTCAAAAAGGGGGACATGTATGATTTCACACTAATGTCCTAGTTAGGAGTCCCCAGAAGCATGTTGTTGTATGTTGACCTCAAGCCTCAAAGACTTTATGTGTTCGAACCCTTAATGGATCTCTCACTACGAGTATTCCTTCCCAATCATGTTATATTCGCATTAGTCAAAGAGCTATCTTTCTCTTCTCATTCCGAGTAAAGAGATTTCTTCAATGCCGATATCTTTCGCAGAGGTACAATAAGTTTTTTTAACCAATCTTTTTAACCAACATTTTCTTCACAGTCACACACATCACTGCATATCCTCTAACTCTCTAGTATAAACCAACCGGAATGTAGATATTGCACCAATCTCTGTTTATGATCCTAATTCATTTTTTCGTGATAATGGTGAAACCCAACCATCCTAACTTCTAAGGCATTGACGGTGAGCATATTGTTCAAGATTAAAACGAAACATTTGTTTCAGTACCATTTTTTGATATTCAAAATCATATTTCTTTCATCATGTGTGATCTTGACAAAATGCTCTATAACCAAGACTTTTTTTCCCAACAAGATCAGGATATTCATTTTTTTAAATATGATTTCCGTCTGAATATCTTCTTCAATTCTTATTACGTAGAAACTTCACAAACCATACTTGTTCTTAACTACACTGGTCATCCAAGTAATTTTGTTTAATCAACTCACACATATGTTAAGTTGTGGTATTAAGCTAAATTGTGCCTACCTGCGAAACATATAGAAAAAGAGGCCCTTCGATGCTCATTGATGAGTATATGATTGTAATTCATGGGAAACCACGCAAGCAGTTCATCATCTCTCTTTATGTCGAATGAAGAGATCTTTTCCCGGGATTCTACTACCTTCGTATCAAATGCTAGTTGATATCACTAATCGCACATTTTTTAATTCGATTCCCACTTATTCTTTGGCACACATTTGGATTGGAATCCTTGAGGTTTTGGGTATTACCAATTCGAAACCTAGATTTCGCAAAGTCTGGCATATGATTTCACATTACAATCCTAAAAGCGAATGAGCCTAACCTCAATGCGAAGGTCTGGTGTTCTCTTGATGTCAAAAATAAATGGTGTACTTGATCTATAGTGTGTGAAACTTATGACGGTTCTTATCCTGTTGGGAACAACAAGAAGTTCAGCGGACGTGACGATTCAGTATTTCACATGATTTTAGGAAACCGTGATGATCACTTTATCTGACGTGGTGACTTTTACGGTAATTGGTCCCATAACCAATGCAACACATGGCAGACTCTGATTGGTTACCGGTTAAAATTCAAATTATCTTGTTGACTATAAAAGGAATTTGGTGGTGGTATTTGAAGACTTTATGCTCTCTTGTCAAATTTTCCCTAAATTTCTCCAAAGCTTATCGTCATTAAAGAACTTTTGCAAACCCTTACAATGGCGGCTCCTACTGTAAATGTTGATTCTTCCAACACTACAAATGAATAAGAAACTTCTTAGTCATTGTAAAAGATTCAGAGTTCAAATCTTCGTCTTTTACCCACTATTGATCAATATCCTGAGCAGTTGCGGATGTTGATTTTGGCCCTAAATCACTCTGTTCTCTCAACCGTGTTATCATCTTCGTTTTCTATTCCAATGACCTGGTTATTACTTGCGGGTCCAAAGGCGGTGTTCAACAAAACAATGAAAGTCGTAACTTTCCAACTGACGAACAACAAATTGCAAAAGCTCACCAAGCGACAATTTTCTCAGATAATGAAGTTGAAGTTACCATACATAGGTCCTTTCTATGAAGTGACGAATGAACGAGATCTTTTTATGTTTAATGAAATGGGTCATCAACCTCCTCTTACTACGATAAGTACTTTTCACAATTCTAGTATTCCCTGTAATTGGAGGTTTATGCTATGATTGATAGTCTTTATTATGACTTGAATGTTGATTATGTTACTCAACTATGGGAAGAGTTTGGTATCGCAATCACATAGACCAATGTGTCGAATGGTGTGTCTTGTGCATGATACTGGAGTTTAATCCTAAGGGATGTGCATAAAAAGGAAAGGATTTTGGTTCTGTCAGAAGATGATAAGGCAGAGTTTTCAACATTACAAGTTCCAGAATTGGTTATTGATGATCCAGTTCTTTTTCCCAGTGTTTCTCGCATTCCAGACACAATGTTACAACGAATTGATCATGCAAACCAAATTCTGGTTTAATACTGGAGTTTAATCATAAGTGGGTCAAGAAAATTCGCAAACCTGAACTTAACAAACAAAATGTGCTAGTTTGAGAAATTCCTACTCCTATTTCACCAGCTTCCGAGAAATGTCAAGCATACGAGATGGTTAAAAAGCTTAAGAAGAAACAGAGACAAATTGAAGACCTTCTTGATAAAGTCGTTGTTGAATCAAGTCATGACAGTGATAGTGAGCGCTTTGATATTTGCATTGATGATACTGGCTTTGGTTCACCTTAAAGGGATTCTCTAGTTCAGTCAATTTTCGAGGAGGTTGGAAGTCATGGTGCCAATGTACACTTATCTAATACAGATACGAAAACAAATTTGAGTGATCCTTAATCTACTTCCATCCCTAAGAAGGCAATAGTCATACCACCCGTGGTTTCGCAAACCGAGTCCTATACAGAGGAGGTTCGCACCTTAGGCATCCTTATGAACGTATCTGATACGGACACAAATGTCAGCATTGGTTAAGGGTTGTTGAACAATGAAGCCCTTGGTACTTCTCATCTTGAAACTTCTATTGTTTAAACATCACTAATTCTTTCATCTACCATCAAAACCACAAATCTTAATACCTCAACTTCACTACAACAATTATCTTCTCCTATCCCTTCACCATTTCATGCTCCCACAATCTCACCAACATACTCCACAATCATGCATGACCTGATAAATACTTTTTTCTTTTCGCAATCCACAGAAGGAGGAAGGACAGTCCACGACGATGAACCCAATGACGATGATATAATGGTTTCTTTTGCTGACTTAGAATTCGATCCTGAGGAGGATAATGTTCCCGACATCATGCTCATGGCAGGTAAACATTTCAAGATCCTCAACAACAAACTAAATTATCTGTTACAGATACAAGACGACACTAAGGGTCGAAATTCTATGTCTGCTGTCGAAGTGGTGTATTTGTTAAAGTCGCAAGAGAGTCGTCTAAGGAGTATGGTGGAAAACATTGAAAAGCAACAAGACAAAAGATTGAAAATTCATTCTGATAAATTTGAATATGAGATTAAAAGCTTTGTGATGCTGCGAAAGAGCGTCATGAAATTTTTGTGGAGCAAGTGAAGACGATAAAAGAGTCTCTTGATCTCAAGATGACTGACCTCCAAAAGGAGATGGCTAAGGAAATTGAGAAGTTAGAGAAAGTTATGTTGTTCTTCATGGAAAATTGAAATTGTTGCTAATGAAATTGCCAGGTTAGTTGAGTACAATTCTGCTTATTCAACTAAGCTTGATGAAAAGACAATATCAAATTCCAAAGTCTTTGAAAAAATGGATCATTTTTAAGTAGTATCAAGGAATCCATTTTGCAAGCCGCTCTTTCAAACCAATCGTGTGCTTTCCAAGAAACTATCACTCAGATGATTTCATCTATTGAAGTTAATCTCAAAATGGAACCAGCTTCCATCCTTAAGTTGGTTCTTCTTCTACCAACAACTGCTCCACCAGCGAAGCAAGTATCGCAAGGGGGAGAAAAAGGATACGGGGGTATTGGATCTTCAAAATATGCGGATAAGGGTGCAATTGTTGGGAAGGTTATATTTACACAAATACCCACTTTACTTCCAGTTTCTTTGACAACAACTTCGACAACCACTAATTCAAGACCTATATTGAAAGGAATTGTCATTGGCGAAAGTGATGGAGGCTCGGGATCAAGTTCAAAAGCAACTCCTTCGAAAGACAATCAAGGAGATAAAGGGAAAGGTGTTGACGTAACGCTTACTGAAGAGGTGAAAAAGAAGAAACTACAGATGGAGATCGAAAGAGAAAGACATATCAATAGTATTATGAGGCAAAGACAGAATGATCCACCGGGTTTAAACAAGGGTGATCCCAACAAACACTGGTTCTATGAAACTATTAAGCAAATTGTTTCGATAGGGAAGATCGAGTATTTTCGATAGGTTACAAAGAAAAGTTATGATGTTGAAAACTCTTACTTTAATCAACTCTATTTTCCTATCAATCACATGACCTACATTTCCTCTCACTAGAAGTTGCTTGATCGATTCAAACACAAAGAAGAGTATAAGAGACTAAAGATGATATTTCATGCATCTTAGGGAAGAGAGAAGAGGAGATTTGGTCTTCTGTGAAAATCATTAAAGTGATGTCAATCTCTCGGGAAAGCTTGTTCGAAGGTACTCTAAATTTTTTTTGCAATGTTGTTGTAAGAGCGAATAATGTAGTCTGTGATTTTTAAGTTGCCAACTTCCCATTGATGAATTTGAACGACTTGGTCACAGTGACGTCGATTTTATGCAATGTGGATGTAACGAAACTATTAAAGAGTAACAAGGATGATTTTCTCATCAACTTCGCTCATATCAAATTGTTCATTAATAGTTATTGTGATTGTGTTGCAATCACTAATATCGAGTTTTCCATGTCCATCAACAAGACATCAAAAGTTCCCCAGTCCTTGCTAAATGGGAAGATTAATACTGACAAATATGAAGATGGTGAAATTGTTCATCAACCATTGGGGGTAGTATTTCGTGGCAAGAACAAGAACCAGAGAATGACAAAGTTTATGTTCCAAGTGCATGATGTTGAGAGGTATATAAATGTTCAGTATACAAGCCATCTAGTTCATGTCAATAATTTCAAGAAGAATGATGCTGCGGAAAAGGATAAAATTTGGAAGACTATTCTTTGGTATATGAAAATTCGTAGAGTACTTCTCCAGACCATGAAGTTGATGATGTGATTTCGACTCTTCTCACTAAGGGGGAGATTGTTGAGTTTGAAATGTATAGAGAACGGTCAAAAGTCTTTTTGTTCTGTATAGGTGCAAAGTCTAGTACTTCGTTGTGTATGTATTTTGCAAGGCATTTGTTATGTTGATGTGGAATTTATAGTTGTTGCATACTTTTTGAGCATCTGTATTGCTCTATAAATAGAGTAAGTATAGAAGTAGAGATAATTTTTTTGGGAACTTTCGTTCTCATTCTCTATCTAGAACTTTTGTACTCATTCAGACAATTAATGAGCAAACATATATTATTTATGATAGAGTTCTTAATGCTTTATGTTGTTGCTTTTGTTTTCTAAACTTGATTCAAATGCTCTTCAGACAATCCTCACAAAAACTTAGAATACCTTATTAACAACAATAAATAGAAAACTTCATTAAAGATAGTAAGAAAGTTACGGATGGTTATTTGACATCAGAGGAAGACAGATGAATGAGCCATGAAGCTTCGGTGAGTGAGAGACATGATTATGAAAAGTTCAGCCCTGATTTTGTTTATTGTTTAATTAAACAAGCTAGACCAAACTACCCCTGATACAGCCTTTTCCTTTTCTGTAGCTAACTCATGAGATGAGTTCTCATTCCCATAATGTGACTAAAACTTCCATGCTTTGTCTTTGCTCTAGTCCACAAACAACATCATCATGTATAATGTTGTAATGCTCAATTCCTATGGTGTCTTTCTTTTTTCACAAAACATGAGACTCACGGATGTCTCTTTCACACACTTCATCTCTGCATTCATCTTGTTTGACTAAAGTCACTTGACAAATGAAAAACCTGTTCCTTGACAAAGACTTCACATACTAGTAGATACAAGCAAATCCTTTCCCAAAACAAATGTCAAATCTGCTGAGAAAACATTAAACAAAAAACAAAACTTGCATGAAACTTTTATCATGGGGAACAAAACCATAGACGAAACCAATCTTTTGTGAGAGAGACAACTAATATGGATTATTTAAAAAATTAAACTCTCTCACATCCTCATAAACAAACTTATGAACCCATTTGAATTTGGGTTTTGGAAGATACCTCACATATGAATATTTCGGATCAGATTTAGAACATCTAGTTTGTGGTTTTCAGAACATTCTTCATCCTTTCTGAATATTTTTATTTCTAATGAGTCTTTCTAACTTCTTTTGTTGGCTTCAATTCAGAATCATGAGATGTATCTTTATAAAACCCAAATCTTCTTTGGTTGTGTGACCCGACATCTTTTTTCTTTTTTTGTTCGACTCTAAGAAAAGATTTACTTAAATAAGAATATACATTAGAGAACTTACCTGATTGAGCTCGTCTTCTTTTTCTCCTTCTGATTTTCGAGGTTATGAATAGGGTTTGAACTTCTGAATTTTCAACGGATCTTTGAACTAAAGTTCTAATAAAATATGATAACTTGAATGTATCGGAAAACCTGCTCTGATACCAATTAGTGCTTTGTATCGATCGGATACACTCAAGTATAAGAAACAAAGAACAAACAAACAGAGTAAATATTAAACAGAAAACAAAAGAACACAAATAATCAGTAAGATACTTTCACCAAGAGAGAATGCTCTCACAAAGAGAACATGTCACGAAGACGACCACCAAGATGTTGACGGAACCAAGCCATACATTAGGGTTTCACCTTAATGTTTATTATATATGATTACATAAACAATATCCCATTAATTAAGGGATGTATACCTACCTAAGTAAGGGTCTGATCCTAATCACTAAGATTACTGATAAGACATCTATTCTATATATACACAATATAACATCGTAATATACAAATAATATCTTCCTATAATGTATATAAATGATATCTTCTTAATATACAATGATCACTAAGATCATGGACTTCACGCTGAAGCTGGTCATTCTAGGGTTGATGTTGGTGCTAGTGCAGATGTTGGCACTGGCGCTGGTGGTTGGTGTTTAATTGTGTTTGACTCGTCAAATCATAAGGTGTGACCTTGCAATCAGCTAGCTCTTTTTGCATGGCTGTAATCCGATCAGAATGTTTTAAAGATTCTTTGATGTATTTGGGTTCAACCATTGAAATAAATACAAAGAAGTGACACTCATTGTGAATGTTGGCAAAAGAGCGAGTTTCAACTCTGGTATTCAGATTTCCGATAACTTGATTGGGAAGATAATCCTTTGTTCAGATAGGTAATCTTAGGATTTCTTGTACAATAGATGATCCGACATCAACGATGGGGTTATGTTGCTGCCTCGAATAGTTTGAATTTAAGGATGATGCTCCCCCTGAACTTCTAAACCAAATATATCTGCGACCTCGTTCGGAAAGTCAAGGAAAATTGCATCATTGTCATTGTCCAGAATAGGATAAATTTCGAAAGATTGATATGTTGCATCTTAAAAACCTTCAACTCTTGATTCAAGGGTTGGATTGCTTTCCTTTCCTTGAGGCATGAAAGCAGAGGTATTCTCCCCCTCAACCTGAGATGGGAATACTTCAGAATTAGATGGAGGAAAAGCGGGGTCAGACCAGCCAGATCTTGATAAACAGGCAGATTTGCAGTTGAAAATGGTTTAGATCGAGATTCCGAGTCAAGATTTATATATGTGGGTCCGAACAAACTTTGAAAATCAACTTCATAGATGACCTGAGGATTCAAAGACCTAGAAGGTGGCGCTTCAGACTCCATGATGTGAGTTGTAATATGGGTTGGATCTGATTTCGGAACAACATTTTCATCAAAAGTTATATCAAAGTTTTCTTCAATAACACGGGTACCACAATTAAGAACCCGGTAAGCTTTTGATTTATCATATTATCCCAAAAATATGGCTTCATTAGATTTCTATTAAAACTTGGTGATTTTCATCACATTTGTTCTTGATGAAACCTTTGTATCCAAAGATGTGTAGAAATGAGACACTAGGCTTCCGACCATTCTTAGCTTCAAAGGGTGTCATGTTGACTCGTCGATTGATGATGCTTCGATTTAAGGTAAAGAAAGTTGTGGAGACTACTTCAGCTGTGACAACCCGAAATTTCTATCTTGTACAGTTTTTCAAATTCAATCATAGTCAGACTCGTTTCTGCTATCTTTTAGCATTGTTCAGGGCCTGTTTGAGTGTTCTAAGCCTAGTACATTCAAGGTTTGGGTTTAGGGATGAGTTAACTTAAGTTCATCGTATTGCATTCGGGCCAAACACTTCATCAAGAGGAGTATACAGCCGTAAACACGGGTGTACGGCCGTACACCCAAGGTGGTCGTGAACCCAAACATATATATATATATATATATATATATATATATATATATACTTTTCCTTCATTCTT